TCCCATGTCATCCAATCTGTCCTAAATCAGGAAATGTTGGCTGCTACAACTGGCAGCCCCTGCTGGCTGCATCTGAACTGATGGTGAGGGAGAAGTGGATTCCACAGTGGGTGCTCTTCCTGACCATTGCTGAGTGCTGCGTATGTGACCCCTGACATGGGTGGTCTGACTGAGATGCTGGACACCTGGGTCCTGCAAACCACCTGTGCTCCTTCTACTGCCATTACCACTGCAGATGGCAGCCGCTTGAAACTTTATTCATGGAGCGAACTGGCACTTCCTAGGTACTTCTCTCAGGTAGAAAGCAGATGCAGGCTCAAAGTAAATAATCAAAACCTACCACCCAGCTGGCAGCACAGAAAATCAGGAAACATTGATCCTAACACGATCTTTATGCTTTATTTCTACAAGTGACCAAGGAGGCCCATGCCTGTGCATAGCTCCCGGCACATCCCTCCGGCCTTCCTGCAGGGATCCCTCACTCACCCGTGTCTCCTGGGCTTTCCCGCCCTCTTTCTGAAAGGCCCATCCTAATTTGAACAGTCCCCTGATTTTACACACTTTCCAAATTAAACAAATATGTTCTGCTTTTTAAAAATTTTTAAAATTATTTTATTGTATTAAATTTGTTTTAATTAGTTATGCATGACAGTAGAATGCACATTGATTCACTGTGCACAAATGGAGCACAGTTTTTCACTTCTCTGGTTGTAAGTGAAGTGGAGTCCCACCATCCTTGCAATCATACATGTACCTAGGGAAATGATGTTTGTCTCATTCTACTATCTTTCCTACTCCCATTACCCCTCTTCTCCCTCCCTCCCCTTTGCCCAATCCAGAGTTCCTTCACTCATCCCATGACCCCACCCCCATAGGGACCAGCATCACTTATCAGAGAGAACATTTGGCCTTTCGTTTTTGGGGATTGACTTACTTTGCTTAGCATGATATTCTTCAACTCCATCCATTTACCTGCAATGCCATAATTTTATTCTCTTTTAATGATGAGTAGTACTCCATTGTGTATGTATACCACAGTTTCTTTATCCACTCATCTATTGAAGGGCATCTAGGTTGCTTCCACAGTTTAGCTATTGTGAATTGTGGTATTATAAACATTGATGTGGCTGCATCACTGTTGTATGCTGATTTTAAGTCCTTTGGGTATAGACTGAGGAGTGGGATAGTTGGGTTAAATGGTGGTTCCATTCCAAGTTTTCCAAGGAATCTCCATACTGCTTTCAATAATGGTTGCACCAATTTGCAGTCCCACCAGCAGTGTATGAGTGTGCCTCTTCCCCCACTTATTGTTGCTTATATTCTTAATACTGCCATTCTGACTAGAATGAGATGAAATCTTAGAGTAGTTTTGATTTGCATTTCTCTAATTAATAGAGTCGTTAATTTTTTTCAAATATTTGTTGATTAATTGTATATCATCTTCTGAGAAGTGTCTCTTTAGTTCCTTAGCCCATTCATTGATTGGGTTATTTGCTTTTTTGAGTTCTTTATATATATCCTGGAGATGAGTGTGTAGTGAAGAGGTTCTGCCACTCTGCGGGCTCTCTCTTCACCCCTTGGTTATATATATATATATATATATATGTTGTAGTTGGACACAGTACCTTTATTTTTTTATTTATTTTTATGTGGTGCTGAGGATCAAACCCAGTGCTGAGCCACATCCCCAGCTCTGAGAAGAAGCTTTTTAGTTTGAATCCATCCCATTTATTGATTCTTGATTTTATTTCTTGTACTTTAGGTGACTTGTTAAGAAAGTTTGGGCCTAATCTGACATGATGAAGATTTGGATCTACTTTTTCTTCAGTTAGGCACAGGGTCTCTGGTCTAATTGCTGGGTCCTTGATCTACTTTGAGTTGAGTCTTGTGTAGGGTGAGAGAGGGGTTTAATTTCGTTTTGCTACATATGGATTTCTAGTTTTGTCAGTGCCATTTGTTGAAGAGGCTGTCTTTTCTCCAATGTATATTTTTGGCCCCTTTGTCTAGCATGAGATAACTGTATTTGTGTGGGTTTGTCTCTGTGTCTTCTATGCTGTACCATTGGTCTACATGTCTATTGTGGTGTCAGTACCATGCCATTTTTGTTACTATAGTTTTGTAGTATAGTGATGCCTCCTGCTTCACTCTTCTTGATAAGAATCGCTTTGGCTATTCTGGGTCTCTTGTTTTTCCAAATGAATTTCACGATTGCTTTTTCTGTTTCTATGAGGAATGAAATTGGGATTTTAGTTGGAATCACATTGAATCTGTATAACTCTTTTGGTAGTATGGCTATTTTGACAATGTTAATTCTTCCTACCCAAGAACATGGGAGATCTTTGCATCTTCTAAGGTCCTCTTCAGTTTCCTTCTTTAGTGTTCTGTAGTTTTCATTTGGTTATATATATATATATATATATATATATATATATATAAAGACATTGTAGAGGTCTTTCACTTCTTTTGTTAAATTGATTCCCAACTTTTTTTTTGAGGCTATTGTGAATGGGGTAATTTTCCAAATTTCTCTTTCAGAGGATTCATCACTGATTTATAGAAATACATTTGATTTGTGGGTATTGATTTTACATCCTGCTACTTTGCTGAATTTATTTATTTATTTTAGAAGTTTTCTGGTGGAACTTTTTGGATCCTCTAAGTATCAAATCATGTTGTCAGCAAATAGTGTTAGTTTTAGTTCATCTTTTCCTATGTATATCCCTTTAATTTCTTTCATCTGTCTGCTTGCTCTGGCTAGAGTTTCAAGGACTATGTTGAATACAAGTGGTGAAAGAGGGCACCCACATCTTGTTCCAGTGTTTGGAGGGGACACTTTCAATTTTTCTCCATTTAGAATGATGCTGGCCTTGGGCTTAGCATAAATAGCTTTTACAGTGTTGAGGTATGTTCCTACTCTCCCTAGTTTTCTAGTGTTTTGAACATGAAGGGGTGCTGTATTTTGTCAAATGCTTTCTCTGAATGTATTGAGATGATCATGATTCTTGCTTTTAAGTCTGTTGATGTGATGAATTACATTTATTGATTTCCCTGTGTTGAACCAACATTGTGTCCCTGGGTGTACCTCACTTGATTGTGGTGCACTACTATCTTTTTAATGTTTTTGTATGTGATTTGCCAGAATTTTATTGAGAATTTTCGCATCTATGTTCATCAGGGATATGGGTCTGAAGTTTTCATACCTTGATGTGTCTTTGTCTGGTTTTGGTATCAGGGTGATATTAGCCTCATAGAATGAGTTTGGAAGGGTTCCCTCCTTTTGTATTTCATGGAATAATCTGAGGAGTACTGGTGTTAATCTTCTCTGAAGGTCTTGAGGAACTCGGCTGAGAACCATCTGGTCCTGGCTTTCCTTGGTCGGAAGGCTCCGGACAGTGTCCCCCATTTCATTGCTTGACATTGCTCTGTTCACCCTGTGTGTCCCTTGGTTCCATCTGGGCAGATCACATGTGTCTAGGAGTTGGTCAGTGTCTGTTTTCTCTTTCGTGGGAGTGTACATTTTCAAAACGGTTTCTAATCATCTTCGTATTTCAGTGGTGTCTGTTGTGTGAGTCCTGCTGTAGGAGTCGCTCTTCATGCAGTGTCAGGCAGTTTGTATCGTAATAATTTGCAGAAGGACATTCTTCCCCAAGTCTCTCCTGAGATTGGCCTCAGTTTGTCTCTCAGTGTGTGGCTGTTCTCCCTGAGTCCCTCAAACCCTGCGTTGGTGGCTCTGGGACCTGTCCCTGGGCTAGGTGGCTCACAACTTGTCCCTGCAGGTCACTCCCCTGGCCTGCTCCGTTGTCCCTGCCCTCCCAGGTTCTGTGCTGTCCCTGATGGCCTCCTCCATTGCTGTTGCTGAGTGTGTCCACACCCAGGCCCCGGGCGGCAGGACGTCTGCCCTGCCCTGGCCTGGCTCTCCCTCTGGTGTCCTTTTTGCCTTGTGCCTGCTCAGCTATGGCCTTGCTGGGACCACTTCCTGGGTTTCTGCTGGTGCCTGTCCCTTAGGAGGTACTTCTGGGGACCTAGAAAGTCACCCGCACTGCGTATGTTCTCCTCAGGAAAGAGCACCACAGGGGGGTTCAAGTCGCACCCCAGGTGCTCTCTGCCTGGCTGCCGCGGGAAAGCATGCAGGCTTCTTTTGGAATGTGGGGACAAATTCACTTGTCCTATTTGGGAATGAGTTACTTCAGGCATATGAGATGTTATCTTCTCAAAGTTTTCCTAGAGGAAAAGCTGGGGTTGCTCAATAGAAAACCAAAGGTCCTTCCTAAAGGAGGTGAGGGCTGCTGCCAGGGGCTCTCTGTGGTCCCCTTTCACAGGACCCAGGGACACCCAGCCTTGCTAGGTGCCGAGAGCCCTGTGAGCCTTCTTGCGTGGTCAAGCTGGCTGGGTAGCTGTGGTGGGAGGAAACAGGTGATCTCTTTACTTTTCTTCCAGGTATAAGCCCAGGAGCAGGTACGAGTGTGTCTTCAGGCTGTCCACCAAGGGGGCCACCGAGGTGACCAGCTTGTCAGCGGTGAACGACTTCTATTCCCGTATCCTTGTCTGGCTCTTCCAGCTGCCAGTCAGTGAGCTCTGATGTCTGGTGCTGTGCGGGGCACAGGGTGCTCGTGGCCATTCTCAGGGCACTGACGCTCTTGGCAGCGACTGGACGGTGATGTTTCCTCTCCGTGTGGGGGCTTTCAAGGGGGCAGCTCTCAGGACAGGTCCTGGAGCAGACCAGGCCCTCATAGGGAGGGCTGCGAGACCCCCAGCCGCTGCTCCCGCAGAGTACACCGTCGAGTCCAACTTCAATTCGGGCTTTGTATGGGTAATGTCGTCACTTTTAATCAAAAAAACTGGTTTTATTTCACTTAGAATCAGATCTCCTGAGGTGTAAAGGCTTTAGTTCATTCAGACACGGGCACGTTTGGGTTCTGCTGAGGGTTTCCAGGTGCGCTTCCTTCCCCAGGCCTGGAGGAGACGTTGTGAGGTACTGCGGGAATGCGGTGAAGCTGGAGTGTGGGGTTTTTGCACTGGGTCCTGTGAAAGGGGAAGAGAGAGCCCCTGGCAGCAGGGGTCTCCGCGGCTCGTACCTCACCTGTGCCGTCTGCGCATGCCGGCCTGGGCCTGTGCTTCTGCCTTGCGTGTCTGCCATAGTACTCGGGGCGAGACGCTGGGGAGTGTGGGTGGTCACTCGATCCCTGTATGCACACATTGCCCCTCGCCTGTCCACTCAGACAGCGCCTGTGCTCTCTGGATGTGTGGGTCTTGGGCTACTGTTGTGACCACCTGCAGCCTGCTCCAGGTGCTGCCCCCCACATGGCTGTGCCCCGCAGTGGTCTCATCTGGTCTGTATTCAGACTGCCAACATTTCCACCACTCCCTGATCTGGACATTTCCTGGACACGTCCATCAGTATGGCTAGAGGTAGAACCGAGGCCTCCTGCAGGATGTGCTCCTCTGCCGTCTCCACCTCCCAGCAGCACCCCTCTGCTCCTGTGGACATCCGGGGCCAGCCGAGTGGGCTGTGCTGGGAGGACTTCCCTGTGGAGCTGCGGAGTTCTGGGCCAGTCAGTCAGCTGAGCAGAGCTGCGCCTCCCCAGAACCTGAGCCCTGGGGGTGGACAGAGCCGTGCCTCCCTGTGGGCAAGGCCGCCGGGCAGGCTCCCTAACTCAGCTGCTGCAGATGTGGTCCTCACAGCTGGCCGCAACAGGACTTTGCAAGTTTTCGACCTCAACACCGGCTGCAGTGCTGCAGTGATAGCAGAAGCCCATTCACGGCCTGTCCATCAGATCTGTCAGAATAAAGTAAGTTCTGGACACACATGTGACGGTTGGGATCTTCAGTGTCCCCTGAAAAGCCTGTGTTGGAAGCATGCTCCTCAGTACAGCAAGACTCAGAGGTGGGTCTTTTAGGCAGTGGTGACTGGGGACAGTGAGCTCATCGTGAGCGGCCACTTGGTGGATTAATGATTTGAATGGACTTGGACTGCAGGGTGGTCGCTATAGCCAGGTGGGGCGTGGCCTGAGGAGGTGGGGCCCTAGGGCTGTGCCCTGGGCCACATCTGTCCCTGGTTCCTGTCCATCTCCTGGCGGCCAGGCTGACAGCTTTCCTCCACCAAGCCTCCCCATGGTGTTTCTGCCTCACTTCAGGCAAGAAAAATGGGCTGTTTGAACACGAACCGAATCTTTGAATCCATGAGCCCAACAAACGTTTCCTTTTCTGAGTTGTTCTCCTCAGGGTTACTGATCTCAACGAGGAGAAGCTGAAGAACACAGTACGTTGTTTGTAACATTAGGAGCTTTGAGTTTTTAATAAACAAAGTATCAGGATGTAATTTCGGAACTGCTGCCAATCTCAGTGTAATTCGTAATTGTCAAGGCACTATTTTAGGCCTTGACATCTGACCTGTTACCCCAGGGCCCACACACACCTCGGCAGGTGAGCGGTCTCATGGGGTCTCCGTCTCCCCGTCCCCACGCCAAGGCGACCCATCCTCGGGACTCTCAGCACCCTGCTGCCAGCAGAGGCTGCTGGACCCTTGAGGACAGAAGCCACACCAAGCAGGCCCGTTCCTTCCCGTGGCTCATGCGCGGGTTCCTCGGGGGCTGGGCTGGACCCTCTGGCCTCAGGCTGGGCAACCTGGCACTGGTCCAGACCTGGGGAAGGCTATGTCATGGGCTGGCACTGGCTTCTGAGCTCCAGTTCCAGGGCCCTGCCCCCCGAGCAGGGTGGCCATGCGGCTGGGTATCCCCAGCGCTTTCCAGGGGGTCAGTCCCAGTGTGCCTGCTCTCTGCTTTCCACCTCTGCTCCGTGGCCTGGGCCCTCCATGTCCAGCTCAGAGGAGTCTGTCTCTGGGTGGCAGACTTGACTGTCACTTTGCCACCACTTCACACTGCTGACCAGCCTGGGCGTGTGGGGAAGGCTTGGGACCCCCTCTCCCATGGGTTCTGCCCTCTGAGGCTGGATCCGTGCCTTCCTGGCATACAGTTGGTGCTCAGAGGTGGCTTGCCTAGTTGGAGCCCACAGGCTGAGCCTGGCCGCTGAGGGTGGTTCGGTCCTGGTCTGTCCAGAGCTGCCTCCCCTCAGTGTGCAAGGGGCACTGTGGGCACAGGACGCCAGAGCTGGCTGTGAGCGCCCGTCCAGGGGTCTGCACAGGGACGCCTGACGAGATGGGAACCGGGTTTCTACCAGGTGCTAGGCGGCTCTTTGGGCAGAGTCGGGGTGAGCCTCCCTGAGAGCCGGTGCTTGCTTCGTGGCTGGCGCCTGCAGCGGGCAGGATTCCCCGCCTCGGTGGCCTTTCCCCAGAGCATTGTCCTGCGCAGGGCTCGTTGGGTCCACGGTGCAGCAATGCGCAGTGCAGAATGCCTTCCAAATGGAGAGTCCGCGTGGAGAAGCTGAGCACTGTGGCCGTCGGAGGCAGGGAGGCTCTGCAGGCCTGTGACGGATGCGCTGCCTGTCCCAGCCACCTCCCAACGGGGCAGATGGCCTTATTTTCCCATGTTCTCAAGTGAAAAGCGTCTCAGGCTCGTTTCCCCCTCAGCTCACACTGTCTGGGGAGCAAGTGCCGCTTGGCGAGTCCCCAGCAGCGGGTCCTGGGGAGGCCGTGTGACGCTGGCCCAGCCCTGCTGCGTGGGTCCCTTCCTTCCCTGGGTCTGTTCCTTCCCGTGGCTCATCTTGAGGGTTCCTCGGGGGCTGAGCTGCACCCTGCTGGGCGCTGGGGGAGGCAAGGCCAGCCCTGCTGGAGAGCAGTGGGGCTGGCAGCGCCCCGGGCACTCGCAGTGGAGGCCCGCTGGTCAGAACGGCTTGGTGCTCCAGGGTGTGTCTGCTGTAGGCAGCTCTGTGGCTCGGCCGCGCTGCCCATCTGCCCCAGGCTGTGCAGACGGCCTCCTGACCTCCTCAGCCCGGCTGCAGCGTGCTCGGGGATGGGGGTCGCAGGAAGAACAGCTGGAGCTCGTCTGGGGGGCCGCCGGCTCACTTCCTGAGGAGGAGCGCCTACCGACAGGCCTTCAGCGCGCAGCTCGCTCGGGGCGCACTCTTCCTGTCACGCGGCATGAGTCCCCACGTTCACCAGACTTGGATCCAGGGTGTGCTTTTAGGTCTCTGTGTGGGAGGTGGTCTTCATCCTCTGTTTCGTGACTGACGTCGGACTTGAGGACAGTGCGTGCAGAGCGCGTATTCCGTTGGTACCGATTTTCTCGATATCTTCTGAGATTTTGTATTCAGTGGAAAACTTGACCTTGGCTTGTTTTTAAAATAGATATTACACACTTATACGAAATAATGCACTTTTTCTAGCTATCAGCTATAGGTCTCCATGGAGGCCCTTGGCTCAACCTAGTTAATTGCTTCTAAATCGTTCAAGGCTTCTCAGTTTTTTAATAGCGAGGGAAGTGTGTTCGTTCCCTCTCCCACTTGGGCTGCCATCTTGTCAGTCCCCCTTACTGTCTACCCACAGTGGCTGTGGGAACCCGGAGGCCGTGTTACTCAGCATAGTGAAGTCTGCATTCTGCAGTCCACCTCAGCTGTCTCAGGACCATTTCTGCTCAGCCTCTGTGCACGTGCCACCCACTCCACTCAGCCTTCTGAAGAAGGAGGCCTTGCTGTCCTTGGGATCCTCCTGCAGAGGTCTTCCTGAGCCTTTGCGGGCTGGCGTGAGTGCTGTGCCTGCCGCGGCGGCGCGTGGGTTCACCTCACGTGTGCCTCCTGTTGTGCATTTGTACTCCTGTCCTTCCTGCTTGGTGTCTTCCTCCTCACCCTCCATCAGGTGGGCAGACTGCGAAGCTCTCTTTTCCCGGGCAGTTGACGGCTCTCTCTGCCTCTGGGCTTCCTATCTTGAGCTCCTGTGCGGTGTGCCTTTCCCAGGCAGCGCTCAGCAGGTGGCCTGCAGGTGCAGGGTCACTGGGCACCCTGGGATGCCTGCTGCAGGTGTGGGGCCGCGCATGGGCCTGTGCTACCTGAGCTCAGCTCCCACCTGGGGCTGGGGGAGGGCACAGCGAGGTGGTGCTGGGGATGCGACGGCAGAGCTGAGCCCAAGCAGGGCACGTGTGCCCGTGAGCAGGGCCAAGCTCGCAGGGCCCTCTGCTTCCTGCTGCTTGCGAAGAGTCATCCCAGGTGGATTCCAAACACGCGTGTTGGGGACGTCCCGCGTGGAGCTTGTCTGCAGAGCTGGAGAACCAGGTGCTGGCGGGAGGCGGGCCCTCATGAGCCTCCAGGCGTTGGAGCCATGTTTCGAGCCAGAGGTTCCACAGGTGCCCTTCCCTTGAGTCTCACTCTGTGGGTGTCTTTTGACAGCAGCAGGGAAGGTGGCCACCTGAGGGCCCCTCGGTGCCTCCCGCTGTCCAGGCCTCTGCACTCACCTGCACTGTCTCTCGGTTGCCTGCGAGGTCTTAGGTGGGACGATGGGAGGACAAGCAGGGCTCACTGAGGCGTCCCGGATGCCATGCTGACTGGCCGTGACCCTCACTTGGAAAAGGAATGTCGGCCTGCTGACCCCTTGCTCTGTCATCCTCTGCTGATCTGGTGCCATGCCTCTGGTGGCATGACACGCAGAGAAAAGGACGACTCACGGTTGATGCTCCCTCTGCTCAGTGCACAGCCTCAGCTGCTGGGCAGTGCGTGCACACCAAGGATGGCTTCCTTGGTGACATGACTGTCACGTGAGTTCTGAGGCCTGAGTTCGCACAAGCCAAGGCTGCCTGCCCTCTCTGCGCCATGTGCTCCTGGGGACCACATTCACACACACAGCTTGCCACAGACTGAAAGGCTGTGGGGCAGAGCAGGACTCTGCGTGGAAGTTCTCAAGTTTGACTCGGAAATCGTTATAGTAAGAGGTTTGTGTTGATTTCTGACTGTAAAGAATGAAGTATTGTCAGACGTCAGTGGCACGGTGTCTTTATTTACCTACAGTGGGACTGAAACCCAGGGTGCTACACCACTGAGCTACAGCCCCAGCCCTTTTCATTTTTTATTTTGAGACAGGACCTCGCTAATTTGCTGAGGCTGGCCTCAACTTGCAATCCTCTTGCCTCAGCCTCTGGAGGTGCTGGGTTTACGTGTGCACCCCTGTGCCCAGCAGCAGAATGCTTTAAAATCCAGCCTTTAGAAACCCATCTTGACTTTTCCCTTCTGATTTCAGGGATCGTCATTTACGACCCAGCAGTTCCAGGCCTATAATCTTTTCCTGACCACAGCCGTTGGTGAAGGGGTGAGACTGTGGGACCTGAGGACCCTGAGGTAAGTCCTGCACGTATCCCAGCACTGCCACGGGGAGGCGGCTGGAGCTAGGAGCGAGGCCCGGTGGCTTCCCAACATGCCGAGGCTGTGGCTCACCCATGCACAGTTGAGGAGGCTGAGCTGACACTCGCTAGGCTAGAACCCAGGGCGTCGGGTGCATGAAACCAGCACCTGCTCAACTGTGTGCACCCAGGACACGCTTCCACCATGAGCCGACAGAGGGCGCTCCTGTGCTCCTCGGTCCCAGAACAGAGAGAAAGCCCCATCTGCAGGTGTCCTAGGGCCCACCAGTCAGGACCTGTTGGTGGTGCGGAGCCCTGGGGCACCCATCCCGGGAGGCCACGCTGCTAGGCACTTCCCTGGGGAGGCTCGGAGGTTCTCTTCATAAAGCTAGCGCCAATTCTCTCTTTTTAATTTGTGCATGATAATCGTACAAAACAGTGCATCTGCTTGTGGCACACTTACAGGTGTGTGTCCCGCAGCCTGGCTTATTTCACTCATGATGCTCTCACCTTTTTAAGAGTGGTACTTTGTAAGTAGCTGTTTGTGAACCTTGACTCCCTTGATAGACGTGGCCCTTCCTGGAGCCTGGGCCCTTTACCCAGCTTGATTTTCCGTTCCTCTGCTGGGCAGTGAGCCTAGGCTCTGCACGTGAGAGGCACGCTGCCTCCCGCACAGGGGTGATCTGGAAGGTCCTGCAGAGAGCACTGTTATTTAATATCGACCAGATACGGAAAGCTCATGTATTGCTAGTTCTGTCATCTTTGAGAATTTATGGGATCAAATGGTGTTTGAATTGCTCTTCAAGATCTCTGTAATTGTTTGCCATTTAAGATTCTCGAACATAAAATGTTCAGGGTGTGGCTCAGTGGTGTGGAGCTTGCCCGGCTCCTTGGCAAGGCCCAGAGTTCAGTCCCCAGAACTGCAGCAAAAGATAAGAAGTGTTTTTCATGATAGTTTCTTCCTTTTGTGAAGGAAAGGGCTGGCTGGTGTGCCTCCTCAACCTGTGTCGAGATGTGCTTGGTTTCCCCCTGCTGTTCCTTGCTGTCCTCGCAGGTGTGAGCGCAGTTTTGAAGGACATCCGAACCGTGGCTACCCCTGCAGAATTGCTTT